AAATCAACACTTTACTTAGCTATCCTAAAATTCGTAATTCTTGTTATATTTTTTATAATCGAAATTGGGATTAATTTCTTCCGTCCATAAACCGTCATTGCGCCATTGCGCCTTATACCGATGTACTCCCCTCTCGAATGACGGTGTGAAATCTACAAACGCTCTACCCTTGCAATTGTTGGAATGCAGTTTTTAATTTATTGAAACCATATGTTAACATTTTTAACTTTTTTTCTAATTTTATNCACTAGATTTTAGGTACAATCACCTTTTGATCAGATGAATTTATATTCTTATTCTTATTTTTTTTTTTGCTTTTCCCTTACTGAGATAACATATTTACTTGACGGCATGGGAAAAAGTGGTCAAAAGAAAGCAATTAACAAAATCATATTATGTATTCTCTTAAACATTTTACATTGCATTTAGAACAGCCACTACAAAAAATCAACACTTTACTTAGCTATCCTAAAATTCGTAATTCTTGTTATATTTTTTATATTCGAAATTGGAATTAGTTTCTTCCGTCCATAAACCGTNCACTTTACTTAGCTATCCTAAAATTCGTAATTCTTGTTATATTTTTTATAATCGAAATTGGGATTAATTTCTTCCGTCCATAAACCGTCATTGCGCCATTGCGCCTTATACCGATGTACTCCCCTCTCGAATGACGGTGTGAAATCTACAAACGCTCTACCCTTGCAATTGTTGGAATGCAGTTTTTAATTTATTGAAACCATAAAAGCTCCCATAAAGTTCCCCGCATATGTTAACATTTTTAACTTTTTTTCTAATTTTATACGCCCATACAGTCCTGGATGTAGGATTTATTAAAATTTCATATTTTCTGTAGTTGACCCAGATTCGCTATTTGATTTCTGGAATATATTTAAACTGATTTCGAATATACTCACGGCAATTCCCATAATTTTTCTAGACTTGCTGCAGCTATTAAAGGGAATCGGATAAATAAGCAGACTTTTCCTGTTGTTTTATAAAAAGCTGGAAAAAAGTAAATTTCGCAGTGTGTTTTTCGTCTATTTCGCCAATATTTTTCAGTAGTCAAAATTAGGCAAAAAAAGCTTCTCCGATGGATGTAGATACAAGCCTGGTTAAAAATTAAAAAAAAACTAATCAAGTTTAAAGTACATCCACCATTTGTATTCATATTTAAAAAAATATTATTAAAAAAAAAACTACATACGAATGATGTAACTACTAGGTACAATCTGTCTCATTTAGGTGCATTTATTTTACGATATTAGATACAATCTGAAATTCCAAATTTCCATTTTTCATCCCTGATACACAACGCATATGTTCCTTTGTTGTTGTAGTTGTTTTGCAAAGCATTACTTGCTTGCGTCTTTTTGCAGTGTTCGCCTAAGCTCGCTGCGTTCTGCGTTTTTAGCTTTGTTGCAATATTACATTCGCTTAGATGAAAAAACCTCAAAAAACAGTTGTGCACTTGTTTACATATGAATATACTACATACATACATATGTAGTACATTAGTATGGCGGCGTGTGCTCAAGTATGTATGTACCACAAGTAATGTCTGCTCGAAATGTGGGAAAAGCAAAACCGAAACCTGTTTGATGCTCAAATGCAATGCATTCCAAAGGTGAAGAGTTGCCACATTTTTTTATAACATTTCCCCAATCGAATTGTGTGGAAGCAGCATCAAGTTTAAATACATATTTATGTACCCATGTACATTACGAAGACTTTCTCCTTGTGAGTTTTATTACACATACATAACTACTCTACACTCCGCATTTTTTTTTTTTGTTTTTAATTAAGGGACTCGCAAGTAGAATCAAAGGATCAATCATATATAATGTCACATATAATGAACCTTAATCAGTAGGGTTTGCAAAGCTTTCCATATGAAAACCGGTTTTTACCGTGCAATCCGTACAAGAGCTTTGCGAAACTTAGAAAATAATACCCGTAGTTGAAGGCTTTAAGCTCAAAAATTCCCAGAGATTAAAAATAAGACTCGCAGAGCTTCATTGCTATAAAGCAGTCTGAACTATTTTGCATTTGAAAGTCTCTGGAGTTGACACCAGATAATAGTGATTAGATATCATAAGATGCGTCGAAAAGGGTGGCATCATTCAAAATAGCATATCAGATACTGATGTCTCTCCTGAGCGCAAGCCGCAAAACAAACTTAAACATGTTTCACGACACCGTAAACCACTTTGCCTCACACACATACATACCTACATTCATCCATAGTGCATACACATGTGCATATGTATATATAGTCATAGTCTTAAAATTTTTGCAAAAGAATTTCACCACACACCCATAAATACAGCAACGAACCTAGCAACATTTTACTCCATCATTCCAGCCCACAAACACGAATGCATTTCCTCCCTGCAGGAAACCGACTGTATCTCAACTGATGCACTTCTTCGCTCCAAAGACACCAAACTTTGCAGTTTTACATCCACGCAAAGGAGTTGGTAAAAGTTATTTGCACGAAAAATAACCACTTTGCAAGACTTTTTTTCGTTCGTTTGCTTCCATTTGAAATTTATAGTAATATCAACGATATCGCGACGTGGGACATAAGATCTTTCAATCTAAGGGGCGAACTAACCATACCTGAGGCTGAGGCTGGTCCTTGGCTATCTAGTATGGTGTAACCCTTTTCGATTTTTAAGTGGAGATACTGAAATGTTTTGAATACTATGCAGATTTTCTGAAGTTTTTTCCAAAAATTCTAGTTATATTTGTGTCACATCAACGTTTAAATGGTTTATTTGAGAATTTTAAGAAAAACCATGTATGTATGTATGCAGTTTTGAGCCGACGCTGAAGTAGGTTTGCCATTGCCTGCAAAGGGGGACCGCTATTAGAAAGACCTACTTTGTTTTTTGATGTTGGTCTAAAACTGAGCTCAAACCCAGGCCCTGCGGAATGGTAGCGCGCACTTCTAACCACTACACTACAGCGGTTTGCATATATCTATACTGACAGTGTCTTGTAGATGCATTACATTACAGTACAGATTTATAAAAAAAAAAAAAAAAAAAAGCATATATTTACACATACACTAGACCGTATCACAAAAATAAGGCACCCTGAAATTGTGCATACGAAATAATGCATATCAAAAAACCGAAATAATGCATACGAAAAAAAAACCGAAATAATGCATATATGCACAGTTTCGGTTGAAAACCGAAATAATGTCTAAATGCACAGTTTCCATATGCGCGATTTCGGTGCCCCAAAAATAAGATCAATTTGTTCCAACTAAATCGTATTTTTTTTTCTATGTAACTATTCTTATTCAGAAATGTCCAACATACTCAAAACTGATAAGTATTTTCAATAATATCTGCAGAGCAAACCGTTGAATCCCTTTAATTCAACGAATTCGATCGTGGCACGTTCTCACTGTAATGTGTTGATAGCTTCCTTAACAATTTTTTTTATGGAAACTTTCAATTATAGCAGTAATTTCTGATTTTATGTGTCTTCTTAAACATGGAAAATGATGATTTCACATGAAATAATACATAATAGAGTGCATCTCTTGCCAACTTTCAAATATAACACTTCGTGCAGCTCGAGTGTGTAATATGGCCACACTTATTTTCCGCCGGATTTCCGCTAGGCGTTAAATGGCAAAAATGATAATGAAAAAATTGGGCATCAAAAAATATGCGTCCCTGTATTCAATTCCACCTGGCAATTTTTAAATGGCACTAATTTTTGTAATTTCAATGCCCAATGACAATGGATTAGTAGCTTTTACAATGGGCTTACATGCACAACTATTTACACCATTGTATGCTCTGAACTTGATCAATTCTTGCGGCTGTTTGCAATTTTAGAAACTAGACACTTTTTACGATTATTTTACAATTAATCGATTAATGAAACACAAAACAACGATACAATTAAATCGTGAATTAAACAAAAATAATCGATTAATTTAATCAAATGATTAATCGTTGCCATCCCTACACACAATAGATTGGCGGCAAAAGTGTCTCACCATAGTAAAAATATTATTCACCATCTTTCCCCATAGAACTTTGTTACCGATTCACCCACGCCCACAGTACAAAAAATCTTTAAAAAAACAACTATTGGGGCCTAGGTCAAATGGTTTGGGCTAAACATACATATGTATAGCAGATGTCTACATTTATCCCCCATTTACAAATATAGTTAATGCTCTTATTTAATAATTACTGCTATTATTTCATAAATTGATCGTAAATCCATTTTAAATATGTTCTCTCGAATATAATAAATCATTCATTTTGTGTTACAAAACTAAAATTGCAGTTGATATGACAGTTGTCAACTGAAAAAGTTTGAACGTGATCTAGAACTCGAGATCAGAGAGTCAATTCCGGTTCTGCGTTAGCGTTGAGTAATAAAAATAACACCTTTACACCGCATTTATTTCGGTGTTAATTTTATACTTTTCACTTCACTTTACGATAACGCAGAAGAACGGGAATTGACCGCTCAGTGCTCCTTAAAACCTGGTATGTTTAATTCTTGCGGAATTTTCCTTATTTGTAGAGAAATTGACAGCCCCTTCGACAACTGTCAGCCCTTAAGGTTGTCTAAAAAATATTTTCTTATTTTTAGAAAAATTAACAATTGATTTGACAGCTGTCAAGTGTCAAACTATAAATTTTATGGCATATTTGGATTTAGCATCACAACAGTACTACGATCCTGCAGCTTTATCATAATCGTCGTAACGGCCCTTCTAATTTTTCGCGTACACATGGCTTCTCCGACCACTGTGTGCCGGTTTCACGAAAGCAATTTAAGCTCTGGGGCACCCCAATGTGCATATACATATATATATATAAATGTATAAGCCAGAAGTGGGTGGGTGGAGGCGTCTTATATTTTCACCCAAATTGCGGACACTCTCACTATGACATTCCGTATCTTAACTCTTTATGTGATTCGTCTAATTGAACAGTCCTAGATTTCCTAAAGCATACTTATATTATTTATCTAAAAATGATTTTGTTTGAACTTAATACGGTGTGCCAACGCGCACTCAACTGCCAGCGTAACCAACTGCACGAATAAAGCCAGAATAAATACGACGATGATCTAACGTAAAAGATTACATACATATTCATATATATATATATATATATGAACAAATCTTACATATGTTTCGATTTTCCAGCCAAATTTCCGCACTCAATGGCCTTTTTTATAACAATTTGCAATGTTTATTCAGCTCTTCTCACGTTTTCTTTTATGTTTCTTCTATTTGACATTTCTTTTGCACTTGCATTTTCACTTTTCCTTCAGATTTTAGTTGGCTTCAATTTTATACATACATATATACATATTTCACAAATTTTCCACATCTTTCTAGTCGTTTTTCCGTCAACAGCTGTGGCACTTCTCGCTTCTGCTGCGCGCTCACTTACAATGCATTTTCTGCACTATCTGAAGCCTTTGGCGAAACTTACAGATATTAACACAACTTGAAGCCACACATCGAATTGCCATCGCACTAAGGCGATAGATATAGTGTTGAAACGTACGTTGCACAAAATACCAGTTAAAATGCAGATTTCAGTATGACGGGAGGCGGTGAGGCGACGCGACCAGTTGGAACAAGTGCAAAATTCCGAATTTACTTGCGACAGCGGACACGGCATTCATTTGATTGACGCGGCGAGAAAATTGGAAAATGCACAATACTCTGACTTCGCATGAGGAAGGTGAAAAATATACATATAAACCCTCAACGCACCCCCGCCATTGGTGGTTTTATCTATGCTTAGCTATGCTTTTGCTGCGCTGGCGGTCTGGTCTCTCAAGTTGTGCCAAAATACACCACTGCCACATCCAACGGCCATATCCACAATCGCCATGAAGAGTAGCGCAAAGTCGACACAATAGCTTTTGGCTGTAAAAATGAAAACAAAAGCAACAATCAACAACCGACCAGATGGAACTCATATACCTAAGGTAAGTGCATACATTCATATGTGTATATGTACATATATACTTATATACATATGTACGTACCCTGCAAGAAAATCTACTGGCTCGTAATTGCAGTGAGTTTTTTTTTTTAATTGTAGGCTACACAAATTTCCACTACTCAACACGGGCACTGCACAATCGTTACTTTACGAAGATGTACGTACGTACATACATACATACATGTTAATATTTACATGCATAAGTAAGTAATGCTTACTAAATACGTAGATACCAAATAGATATTAAATTGTCACTGCTGACGCTTTCCTGCGGGGCTATCACACAAAACTTTTATTTACAAGCATTCGTTGCATGTACATACATAAATACATTCAAAACATACATACATATGTATGTAGATATGTATGAATGCTCATCGGGTTGTGCGTGTGCATTGGTGTTTGTTTGTGGTTGTTGGGCGACTCTGACAAGTGGCAACAATTTTCCTCTTCGCATGTCATTTTCTCTTGCCGGTACGCTGCCCATGGATTCTCAGCAACTCTTTAAGCCAAGAAAAAGCTTGCAAAATCGGAACATTATACATACATACATACATATATATCTGCCAATGTCCATATGCAATGTGTAATGTGCTCAACTCTGTTAGTACAATATTTTCATTTTATCGTTTATCATCGTCACCACCGAGCCGAATATGGTGAACTCTTCGTTACACTGTTTGCTTCAAAAGCTTTCAAAATCAGATCGTAAAGTTGTTATGAAAATTTGCAAATAGCTGTGGTGAAAATAAGGCAAACGGTGTTAAGGCAACGCAGATGTCGCACGCCATTGAAATGGACTGCCTTTGCCGAACGTGGAAAGCTCAAATTTTCTTGGTACGATGAGAAACTGGAACATCTTATGTTATCTACAACCACGATTCGCCGGTAACTTCAAACCACTTGGACTTATCCGGGGGTATCCTACACCTCTGGTCACCACAAAATGTATCACTTCATATTNCAATGAGTTTTAGACGAAAAATAAGAATATTAAACAATTTTGGCAAATGGGCGTAGCCACGCCCACTTATGGTTACATGTGTATATCTTGGTAGCCGCTGCACCAATTTCTTCCAAACTTGGCACAGTTGTTAGTCTTACTACAGCATACTAAATGGCCAAAAAATTTAAAAATCGGACAATAACCATGCCCACATCTCATATAACGGTAATTTAGAGAAATACGAAATCTTCGATAAATCAGTAAATATTGAAGCTAATTTATTCAAAATTTATGCTTCCAACAATTCTTTACCAAGAAATGCGTTTATGAGAAAATTTTGGAAAATGGGCGTGGTCCGCCCACTTATGATCACATATATGTATCTCGGTAACCGTTCTCCCACTTTGTCGCAAACTCGGTATGGTTATTGTGCTTGCCACATAAAAGTAAAGCGTTGAA